CGGCGGCGATGGCTGCTTTGGAGACGAAGCTGCCGATATCGACGCCGATGTGGTTGCCGTCGATATCTTGGAAACGGGAGTCTTGAAACGTGTCGAATTCGACGGCGAAGAGATGTTTGGAGAAATTGCCATTTTGGGTGAAATTGGGAAGACCCAAATACTCTCTAGGAAGACCCACAAAGCTCGGGGAAGGTGCTATGGCGAAAGTGAAGCCAGAGCCGCAGAAATTGGGAGCTTCAGGGATGACGATGAAGGCAAAAGTAGTGGAGAAAGAGAAAGCTCTGCCATTGGAGGAGTTTCTGAACTGGAAAGGGAATTTGTGGAAGGCGTGCCCGTATGATAATCTTGCTGAGTGGTCTATTAATGTCAAGATTCCATTTTTCTGAATCCGGGCTGCCTTGTCAAACGACATCTCCGAGTCTCCATCTGCGAATCCGGCATGGAAGAGCTGATCCTCGAACTGGGATTGTGTTCGGATGAATAGAAAATTTGCAGAAATGAGAAAGAAAATGAGGAAAGTTGAAGCCATGAAGGTGAAACAGCTCAGAGTTTTGGGCTTGCGTTGGCAGTTGAGTTCAAATGCTCTTATTTATAGAACTTAACTTAAATTGGCTGCAAATTAAATCATACAAAAGAAAAGGAAAATTAAAGTTTCAACCTCATTCTCTCCAGTAATTAAAAAAAAAAAAAAATTAAATATCGATGTCGATAAAATGTTGATGTCTCAATTTCATGTCGATAAATATTTCTACAAAGTTTATAAAAGTATAAAGTTCATAAAAAATTATTTAAATTAACAAATAAACATTTCATCATTTCTAAATAACTTAAAAATAATTAATATTTTTTGATATTTTATAGATTTTCATGTAATATTATGAAAATGTCAATTTATTCTTTGTATCAATGTCAACTAAGGAATACATGTAAGTATGGACACGTTGAGTGACGTCTTATTGTTTTTTGTTTAGTACAGTAAACCATAAAAAAGAAAAGAAAATAGAAAACATGTTGAGGAGGAGAAGAGCGCAAACAGTTCACGAACATTTCTTCCCTTCGAATTTAAAAATGGTAAGTCTTTCGAACAATTGGTTGCTAAGGTGTGTACAACTTAATTACAAATTTTTCGAGTAATAATGCGAAACCTTCAACAGTTTTTTTCCATCGTTTCTCCTTGGTTTCGTCCACAATTCATCCACATAGAACTAGATTTCGTTTTCATAAATCTTGTACCCCTATATCAAATTTCACATCACCAAAGAGTGTCGTCTTATCAAATTTCACATAACCAAAGATTGTCGTCTTATTTGTCTCTAATGAAAATTTAGTACTTGTACTTTAGAAAGTAATTTATATGGTAAGTTATGAAATTTTTAATATTACGTCTAACCAATCTCTAATCTTATTATTTAAAATTATGATGATATTACTAGGTCTGTTATATTTGAATATTTAAGCTTATAATTTCATGTAATAAAAATTTTGATGTGAAGTTTCAAAAATCTATTTCATGTACTTTAATAAGGCACTTTTGAAGTAGTGTTATTGGATACTAAAGAAGTAGGAGTAAAAGACCCAATACTTAGTTTTGAAAATATTAGGTTCTTTTTCCAATAAGCATTAATGAAGTGGAAGATATCAACTTCAAATCAAAATTGTAAATAAACCAACTTTAATGAGAGTGGATATGTGATCATAGAAAAGTTAGCTACGATCGATGGAATTGAGAGGGATCCGTTTTATAATATTATTGTTTCTTGTTACTCGTTTTCAATTTTAGAAAAATATAAGCGTTATTGTAAAATGTATAACTAATGATTTGTAAAACTATTACCATTAATGTTATAATTCATAAACTTCAAACTTAAACAAATAAGTCCAATAACAACTCAAATTATAAAGGATAAGTTTATAATTTAGAACTTGTTAAGTCCAAAGAAAAAGTTATTATATATTTTTATTAAGAAGTGTCAATATCGATAAGAATTTGGAATTGTATTAACATAAGTTGATATAAATAATTATATCCTATATGTTATGTTTTTAAGGGAACTTGCTTTCCTCCAAGATAATAATTTAGTGGAACATTGACTTGATAATTTTTAAAAAATTTAATGGAGTTCCATTAAATCTTCCATCCTCATGTTATTCTCTGGATGTTATTATTATTGAGAACAACATTTTGACTAATAAGAGATTACAATGTGATACACCTTTTTTCACAAGAGGTTTATCAACAACATTCATAAATCCTTATAAATAAAGTTCTAATAAATATATAGTGTTTATATATATAATCTTTAACCTTTATTTTCTTCTATCTCCTTTATTATATTGCTTGTCAAAACAAGTAAGGCTAGTATTGATAATTCTCAAGTTCTATCAAGATGGGTGGGTTGGAAATTATTTTGTCTCATTTCCATATTTTGAAATTTTACAACTATTTAATATTATGATATATTTTATGTCATGTGTTAATTTTTTTTTGGTTAAACAAATAAATATCATTAAAGTTTAAAATAATATTTTATGAAATATTGATAAATATTTGGACTTATAATACAATTTGCTTTTTGGACCTCATGTTTTTTTTCAAAAAATTTTTAGTACAACCTCCAACTTCCAATCTCAAAGGACCACTTACGGTTTAATTATATTCATATTTGACTAAAACAAAATCATGAGTTCAAATTTCCAACCAGATACAACCTAACAAAATTTTGGAGCCGTTAGGCTTATAATTTAAACTAAATTTATAACTAATTATTCCGAAAGCTTGTTAAAAGAGCTTTCTTCGCTCATCGACGTAGACGTGAACGAGATAAGAAAATCCCCCGCCGCACATCTGTTAATGCCGCCGCCACCCGGCGCCTTCCACTCGTCGGTGACGCCGATTTCGCCGTCCAAGCACCGCACAACCTGCCTCATACTCGGCCGCTGCTTCGGCTCATTATTGGAACACATGACTCCCAATTTCAACACCATCGCCGCCTCAATCTCGTCGTAATCTCCCTGGAGCTTCGGATCCACGGCGTCCAAAACCCTCCCTTCTCTGAATTTCTCCCACACCCAATCCACCAACGTCATCTCCTCCGGCAACGCCTTCACCTCCACTGGCCGCCGCCCGCACGCCACCTCCAGCATCACCGCCCCGAATGCGTACACGTCGGAGCTCGTCGTCGCCTTCCCCGTCCTCGGCAGCTCCGGCGCCACATACCCCAAAGTCCCCACCACCCGGGTCGTATCCGGATCCGACCCGTGTTCGTAAACCCTAGCGAGCCCGAAATCCCCCAATCTCCCCTTCAATTCGCCGTCTAACAGCACATTGCTCGCCTTCACGTCTCTGTGAATCACCACCCGTTCGTACCCCTCGTGGAGGTAGAGAAGAGCAGAGGCCACGCCCTTTAGAACCCTAAATCTCTGCTCCCAATTCAGAGTCGATTTCGGGTCGTCGAATAGGTATTTATCCAAGCTCCCATTCGCCATGAATTCGTAAACGAGAAGCAGATCCTGCCGCCGGCGACACCATCCGAGCAACTGAACCAGATTCCGGTGCCGGAGCATGCCGATTGTGGAGATTTCCGTCACGAATTCCCGGAGACCCTGTTTCGAATCGTGGGAGATTCGTTTGACGGCGACGTCGGTTTTTGAAATCGGAAGAATTCCTCTGTAAACTTTCCCGAATCCACCCTGCCCGAGAAGCTCCCTCTCACTGAAACGTCTAGTAGCTTTTTCGAGTTCTCTGTAGGGATACCGATGGGGCCCGATTTGAAGCTCCCATGCCTCGATCCCCTCAGATTTCTTGTAGTTTCTGAACAGAAAAATCGCAATCGCGAAAACAGAGATAACGAAAACACTCACAGAAACAGAGACATAAACAGGGACTCCGATTCTCGCCTCTGTTTTCTTCTTTACAGGTGCAGGGGGAGATGGAAGCAAAGAGAGGTCGAGATCTCGAGCTTGGCCATTAATGGCGAAGCTCCAGCCCAAAATGCTCTGAGAGCTTGCAAGTCTGCCGGTTGACGCAGAAAACCCAATGTACATTTCTTCATCAAAAATTGACGAGAGATCTACTCCGTACGACAGTAGTGGCCTTCTGGGTTTCGAGGAAAACGGCGAAATTGTAACATTGAGAATGTTTTGGGTTGAATCATAATCGATCCAAACTTTTACAGCCACCCCACTTATGAGTTTCAGATCTTTTAGCTCGCCCTTTTCGTCTAAATACTGAGCGGTAGCAGATTCCTTCGAAATCAAGCTGTTTATATCGATCCCCACATGATTGGCGTCGGTGTCTTTGGTCGCAGAATCTTTGTTGGTATCGAATTCCACAGCGAATACATGGTTTGAGGAGTTCCCGTTGTTGCTGCTCTCATTGAAGAGGCCGAGAAACATCTGGGGCGAACCTCTGATATCTTTAGAAGGCACGACGGCGAAAGTCAAGCCATGGCCGCTGAAGTTTTCATTCTCGGCGTTGATGCAGAAGGCAAAACAGGTGGAGAAAGAAAAAGCTGTGCCGCCGCCGGCGGAGGAGTTTTTGAACTGAAATGGGGAGCTATAAAACGCCTGGCCGGTGATGCTTTCGGAATGATTCGTCAGCCTCAACATACCATTGTTCTCAATTTCTGCGAACTCTTTCAAGATTATATTGGTGGCTCCATTGAATCCGAGATAATAGAACTCGTCGTGGTGCTGGGATAGTGTTTGGACGGAGAGAAAAACTAGAGATGAGAAGAATGTGATGAACAAAATAGAAGCAGCCATGATAGAGAAAATGAAGGTTTGATTGGGCAGTGAATGAAGATTTTATTTGCAGATCAAAGAGGGAATTGGGAATCCGTGGCGGCTTCTAATTGAGTGATATGCGTTGGGTTCTCATCCAATAGGCATGGATGATTCATGTGTGGGAACTTTCCCTTTTCAGTCGGTGGGAATAGGAAGAAGATTACCTCACAGTAATGACCACTTATACAGCTAAATTTGTTCTTCAATTTTTTTAAGCTTCATTAATGAAAAAGCCACAACATTAATGTAAAAGCCACTGCAATCTTTTTAGTTTTCCGTGTCAAAGATGTCTAAACTTTCAATTTTTTATCTAATAGATCTATGATTTATCCAATATTTTCTAAGCTCTTGAATCTGTTAGACCACAAGATTGAAAATTTTGGATTCTATTGGACATAAAATTCAATTCTTTTTTATGTCTAATAGATTTGTTACTTTTAAGAAAGATTCAAATAGGTTATAAAAAGCTTCCAACTATTGGGTACAAATTTGAAAGAAACATGATCTATACTTATAATTTAATGATCTAAATAGTTAAAATTCTGAAACAAATTTTTTTTTCAATGTATTTAGATTTTGAATTTGAAAGTTTAAAATTTAGGTAAATATATTATTTAAACCTTATAAATTCATTTCATTTTATTTTTTTTAATTAAAACTTATAAATATAATATATATTATGAATTATTATACAATATTGTAAAATGATTTATGATAATAAATTAATTAATAATATTTTAGTTTAGAATTAAATATTTAATTGATAATTCCTACTAATTTACATATGTATATATATTATGGAATACATATCTAACTCAAAGTAAAATTTAAGGAATTGTTTGGTGATGGTTGATTTCTTTATTTCAAAATTTTCTATTTAGCATTACACTTCAAAGGGAGGTGGGGATCGAAAACGTCTCGGATTACGAGAGATTACTTAAATTGTCTTCTTGATTTTTTCCAAAACTTGGAATGTTTTGGTGAAAATAAATAAATAAATAACCAAAATTAAAGGCAACAATGGGAGGAAAAAGAGAGGTGGAGAAAACGTCTACTTCAATAGGGAAGAAATTCCACGAAATTCTTTTGTAGAGAAAAAAGGGCGAAATGGAAGCTCAAGGAATTCAAATTCACATATTTTCATATAAGTGAAACCCACTTTCAAACACATCAATGCCCATCAGACAATTTAATTTCAGTGTGCAAAACGAGGGAAGTGTGTTTATATAATTTTTAACTCCAAAAAATTCTTCATTTTCATTTTTAATCATTTCTTCCAATCAAATTCTAATCAACGATCTTTTTTTAAGTATATATTATCCATCAAAAATTCAAAAGTTCAGGGAAAAAAAAACTTGAACTTTGTCTCTTATTTTAAAAATACCTTTATCATTTCAAAAATTTTAAAACAATTCTACACTTTTTCATAAAATTTTCAAATATATCGTTAACTATGTGGTAGAGTTTGGAACAAAGTTTTCAAAAGCTTGCTATGTGTTTTTATATATTATATAAACAAAATTGTATTGCAATTCAAATTGATAAATATTTAGCATAGTTCAGCAGTAATTAATATATTTTCAATAAAAAATTTGTGAGTTCCAACTGCATCTCCTCCTATTGTATACGTTATTTTAAGACAATAGATATAAAAAAATTTATTATCTTTTAACAAAAATAATAATTTCGAGAAAACTATATTACATGATTTCGTTTGAGGAAATGGAACAAAAAATTCGTATGTGCAAGAAAGACATTATTGCATCACTTTCCAACGCATCTTCCTTAATCACATCAAAGATTGTTCGACCAAATATGCCTTTTCAAGAACATGTTTAAAGGAGAAGAAGTTGAAGGAACTTGTGGGAGAAAAGAAAATTGTGTATAAAATAATTATATTAAAAACATTTGTTTAACTAAGTGCATTCATATGAAATCTTCAATATGCTTACCATCTTAAAATAATTTTTGATGAGAGGGAAGGTCGCTTTGACTCGAACCCTAGACCTGATCTTTAATCCTACACTGGTTAATGATGCGATGAGAGAAGTTTTTTTTGGGTTACCAATTTTACTCTATAATATATCTAGTTCAAGTTATTATGTGGGAGGAGGGCATGCATGGTTCTGTAATTAAAGACAACTTTTGACTAATCATATATTTGATCCAAGAAGACGACTTAATTTCTTGGATAAACGATTTTAGATTAATTTTCTCCCAACAAACCATTTTAAAGAAAACGATTAGCCTTAATATTGTGCAAAAGTACTCTATTTTAATTTAGACTAGTTATCTAACATTGCTCATGGAAATACATTAATTACGTTTAATATTACTCTAAGAAAAATAAATTAAAAATAATGAAAACGCTACAGAGGAAGTATTTAAAGATATGTACACCAACCGAAGCATAGCTCAACAAGTTAAGGTACTATATTTGACCAAAAGGTAGTGAGTTCAAATCTGGACCAAGGGAAAAAAAGCTACATAGTACATTTTAATTCTTTGGATGTTTTTTCAATTTAGTCCATATATTACTTTAAAAAGTTTCAATTTAATTGTGTTTTATTATTTGTTTGCAATCAATTTTAGAGAAATGAAACTCGAAGTAATGAATTTAGGTTTGTATTTATAAGTATTACCATCTCTAATATATAACTCCTTATAATTTCTCTTGAATATAAACTTTGATTCGAGGGGTGTGAAGCTTGTTCTCGTATTAAGTAGGTTGGCATCTTCAGTTTCTAGCTTGTTAAATTATTCGAGACCATTGGCTTTCAGCTTGTTGAAGGTCTCAAGCTTGTAGGTTGTTGAAGTTATTTTGTTTTTTAAAGAGATTTCAATCTTCAATCCAATGGGGTTTAATTTTTTTTTTCAATTCTGACTTCTTCTGAGTGACTATTCGATGTCTCTCAACAATTCTTGCTCCCTGGTACGAAGCGTGACCTCCCTATTTATTGTTTTATTTTCGGTGGATCTTCCATGGGTTTGGGCTTTATCTTATTTGATTTTGGGATTAATAGACACATGAAAATTATCTAACTACACTTATAAAATGGTAAGTAACATTATTTGATTTGCCAATTCTCTATCTATTTATTTAATTTTGAGACACAAGTTAATTATTTATAATTGATCCCAAATATAATAATATATAATTTCATGACTAATTTAAAATAGACCAAAATTTATGATGATATTAGAAGAGAAATTAGGTCACTTGAAAAAAAATGGAAGTTTCTATCAACTACTTAGAAAGTTAGGAATTTTCTTCCCCTAACTAGTCTCCAACCCTCCTCTAAAAGTTTTACCAACTCACAAAATATATCATCTTATCATCAGGTAATTTTAACATTCACATATGAAAATTATATATAATTGAAAAATGTTAAAACATAAGAAAATACTATTCTTTCTTTTAATTATCCTGGAGTACTTTTATGTCCCTAAACTTAGAATTATTACTCCGTGGAGTTGCATAACATGTAATTTGAACCTAAGATCTCAATGATATTTATTGAAGCTCCAAGTCATCCAAGCTATTTCTTAGGGGAACCGACTTATACTTAATCAATTGAATTACTTATATTAGAGACTTAAATTGAAACTTTATAAATAACAGGAACTAAATCAGTTATTTCTAAAAAAAAAACAGGAACTAAATCAGGGTTTTTAAAATTAAGGCTAAAGTTTAGCCAATAACAGGTGTGGAAACAACTTGCCCGAAGAGTCGACAATTAACTTAATGCGACCCGGCTTAAATTCCATGGTATGACCAAAGCTAAGTCCAGCCATAGCCATGTCTTCCTTTATTTTCTTCTTGGCCTCTTCCACCGTCGATCCCA